CACACACACACACACACACACACAGACATACACACAGCCCGTTATTAAATCAGATCCACATCATGTTGGGGGTCGCAGTGTCTCATTGCAGCTCCTGGTTTACATCTAAATGTGAATATTTGTCACCAGAAGCTCATTTTGATTTTTCTCCCACTTCTTCTAAGTTTTCTGTAAATACATGTTGAATTAAAGGGGCGGGGTCTGAGCTCAGCGCTGCTCCCTGATAGGATGGAGTCAGCGTCATGGTTACTGCCCGTGGGCACGGCGGCAGGACGCTCCTGGTTTGAGGGGTCTTGGTCACGTGAAGCCACCTGATGCCAGCTGCTGGTGGTCTCCCTCACAGACCCTCCCTCACCTGTGGCTGGAGGCCCAACATTCCATTCTGACCCGCAGGACAAAAGAGTTGTTCAACAATATAATCCTTATTTATATTTACAAATTATGATTTGACCACCAAATTGGTTTTGTGTTTTTGTTCATTTTTTAAGACAATGAAAGCCTCCAGCAGAGTCAGGACCACCCAAAACAAACAGATGTTATAAAGATGGCTTCTGGTTGGTTTCGGTCTGAAGTTGGAATATTATCAGATTAAAGAGGAGGAGACCCTCAGAGCCTGCTGAACACAAGGATCCAGTCCTGGTCCTGGTTCTGGTTCTGGAGCACAGAACGACTCACTTCAGTGTTGAGTTTTTAGTATTTACACTTTGTTCTGATAATGTTTCAACTTTAATTTCAAGACTGAAACAAACCCAAAGCTCCTGTCTGGATTTGAGCAGCTCTACACTCTCATGATGTTTTAGGTACAGTTCTATATTTAAACTTTTTATTTGAACTGAAAAGAGAAAAGGTTCTGATTTATTGGCTTTAATGAAAGTGACAGATTTGTTTGTTGCAGCTGATGAATAAAGCAGAGTCTGAGGGCCAAACCTTTTATTTAATGACTTTCTTTCATGTGACTTGTTTTGTAAAGTGAATCTGAAGCCATGTTTTTGTACGTGTCGGTCATCTCCTGCCACCTCCACTCGCTCTGTCATGGTGTTGTTCTCCACGATGTCCCTGTTCCCTGCAGGACTGAGGACTTTAGCTGGAGGCGAGTCATGTGACGTGTCTGAGCTCCTGACTGCTCCTCTCACAGGTCCGACCAGGAGCAGCGTTCAGAGACAGATTTTTGTAAGAGGACAAACTAACGCTCTACAACTGAAACTTTTCTCAAGTTTTTTTATTCTGTCTGTATCCTAAATTCAACTTGGTTAAAAAAATAAAAGTTTTCCTTGTTGGTTGGGTGGCAGCAGTTTTTGGCTGGATGTTTGCTGGAAGGATGGAGCGCAGAGCAAAACTAAACATGTTCTTCTCTATGTGTGTGCATCGGTTTTCTCTGGTTTCATCCCACAGAGCAAAAATTTGTACAATAGGTTGCCTTCAGGTCCAGAACACTCTTACAAAAGAGGTAAGTTAAATATATGTAAATAAGTTGAATAATTGTAAAGTAAAAAATTAGGTTAAATGTAAAGTTGAATGCAAATAAGTTAAATGTTSAATAAATGTAAAGTTAAATAAATAAATGTAAAGTTAAGTAAATGTAAATAAGTTAAATGCAAAGTTAAGTAAATAAGGTAAATAAATGTAAAGTTAAATA